CATCCTATAAAGGATGTCAAAGAATGGGTCCATGAGATCGATGAGAAAGCCATTAAAGTAGGCCCAAGCAAGTGAGGATGTGAATATCATCTTGCATCAACAGATGAAAGAGCTTTCTCAATAGCTGAAGCATGTTGCAGTGGAGTTAAAGAATGGACCAGTAAAAACCTTGTCCGTGCGTGATGCATAAGGAGAAGAAGCTCATGACGGTCAAGATTGTTGGAACCTTGGAGGGCATGAACATGTTGATGTCAATTACATAGCTCAATGGTACCAAAATAGGTAACCTCAAGGAGGATATGACCCATATCAAAGTTGCAACCATCCCTTTATATTCATTATCAATAATGAAGTAAGAAGCCAAATCCACCTGGATTTAGGAACCAACCGCAATATAAGTTTCAAGGAGAAGGTTCTTCCAATCAACAACCCAATCAATTAAACAAACTACATGCAACAGTATATGGTTTGCAAGCCATATTTAAAAATGAATGTCAACTTAAAATTCTAATTGATGCGAGAATCCAGAAGCCTCAAGAGAACCTTCCACGAATTACAGAGAATACTCAAAAGAAGGAGGAGGTTGAAGCTATCTCGATGATAGAAAGAGAATTCAAGAGTTTCTTAGGCAAGGAAGGAGAAGATAAGGAGTAAATTTCACAAAGGATGGTCAACTTGAAGGATGATGATCACTATCCTTCTCTTTTTCAAGGCTTGATGGATGCCTTACCTATGCTAAGGAGCATAATTTCCATGGAGAATCCTAAGAAGAAACTTAATCTGTTTCTTGAGGAAGAAGAGAAAGATCTTGTGGACATCGTGCATGTGGGAGAAGAAAAGAAAGATCATGTGGATTGCACCATCAACTGTCTTCTCAGGTCATCAGATGGAGAGATGAATGGCTGATCTTGGTTCAAGAACCAGCATCCCCCTCTCCAAGTGTACTGAACCTAGCTGAGATAGAAGATATCAGAATTGAGATCAAGTTAGTAGAAAACACTTTGTGTGAAGCTCTGGATAAGATGAATCACGAATCAGAGGAAGTTTCAGTAGCGGAGCTGCACGGAATTAAGCTTTCAATTCCGTCCTTCAAAGGCACGATCAATGCCTCTGCCTATCTGGACTGGGAGATGAGGATTCTTTTGTTCTTTCAGTGCGACCACTACACGGATCCACAGAAGATCGCCTTGGCTACGTATGAGTTCACGGATTACGCCACTCAATGGTGGGAGCAAGTTCATCTCCGATGGCAACAAAATATGCGAGCTCCTATAACGACCTGGGATGAATTAAGAGGATTGATGAGGGAGCGGTTCGTGCCAGCTACTACCAACATGAATTGCACGAGTTGTCACAAGCCATTCGTCAAGGTACGAGGTTAATTGATGACTTCTTTAAAGAGATCGAGCTGCTCTTGGTCCGGACTGATGTTCGAGAGGATTAAGAGGCGACGATTTCATAGTTCCTTCACGGTCTCAATAGGAAAATAAGGAATGATATTGAACTGCACCTATTTGTGGACTTGGAGGAGGTAGTCCACCTCACCATCAAGGTAGAACGACAACTGAAAATGGGGACAGGCCGCAGATTTCAGCCCGCAGCTGCTCGCTAAAGTGCTGCTGTCAAAATTCTTCCTCAGGAAGCTTCTGCTCCGACTCGACCAGTAATGACAAAGTCAGCTGCTCAAAAATAATGCTTCGGTGCTTCAAGAGAGAGCTGGAGGGACCACCAGTAGGCTGGAATGTTTCAAATGCCACGGTCGAGGGCATAAAGCATTTCAATGCCCAAATACGAAGACAATGTTCTTTGCGACGGGGAGTACTACTCCGAGCCTGAAGTTGAAGAGGGAAAACTTGACGAGGAATCCACCAAAGACAAAGTGGATGAGGAATTCATTGTGGATCCTTCCCCAGGAAAATTCACGATTGTAAATAGGCGCGCTTTGATGATTGAAGCTGTAGGAGAGACCCAGCAGCGGGGCAATCTGCTTCATACGCGCTGCCGAAGTAATGGAAATTTGATTTCCATGGTAATCGACGGTGAAAGTTGTACCAGCGTTGGCTAGAAGTCCAGTGTCTTACAAGGCTGTTTCAAGGTTGTTTCGTTGTATTGTAAGAGAACAAATCCTTGTGCCACAAGGATTAGTTAGATTTACTTCCCTAGTTGAATTAGGAGTTGTTTTAATTCGTTTTAGTGTAGGTTAATGTTTGTAAGATGCCTATAAAAGGCTCAAGTCGTGTTTGAGTGATTTTTACCCCAGTTCCCAAGGTTGAGAGTTTGATTTGGTTTTGGTGCGTCTAAAACTTGTTGAACCCTAGCCTATTGATTGAGAGATCCCACTCAATTACATCGAAGGAAACCTCATAAAGATTGTTCATTCTTCCATGTATAAGAATTCCCTAACGTTTCCATCCAATTCTTGCTCAAACTAGCCTACCCGAGCTTGTTTTGAGACTTTGTTCTTTGCTTGATCAATTACTTTGATAGATTGAGTTGGCTGTGAAACTCGTGAATCAATTGAGACCTACTTTAGCCTCATCAGGAGAGATATCACTTTAAACATGGGAAAGTTTGTGCACCGAGTGGTTATTGGTTAACCCTATGCAAGTTGAGGTAATTGACCTAGTAATTAGTGATGATGATTTTGAGGAGAATGATAAAGAAATGGAGCCGGAGATTGGGATCCATATTAGATTGGGCTCTTTAGTTAAGGATTCTAAATGAGCAACTTATCATCATTAATCAAAATGACTTCCCCAAAACACCTCTAGAATTGGCGGCCAAGACAGAGAAAGCGAGACCTAGGCTGCCATTACTGGAGCCCATCTCGGTTGGTTTTTCTCTAGTTCACAAAAGTCACTTTGTTGGCATAGTAATGGCCCTTCTTTAATCCCTCTTTACTTTCCCCAATTTCTATCTCTCGAGACCCATTTGTAGGCTTTTGAATAGGCTCTCTAAGGAGAGAAACTCGTAGCTACTACATCATCCGCCTAATTAGAATGCTCCAAACTTGTGGCTAGCGAATCAGGAAGCTCCAAGGTAACTTTATAATGAAGTAGAGGTGCAACATCAAATGACAGCCAAGGAGCCGATTCTGATCAAGGGCTGTTGTTTCGGGCGCCATTTCCATAATCTCGTCTTCTGTGTAAGTCCCTACTCCATCAACTGGATCTCGGTGTCCCCTTCGGCTACCAAGTGGTCCACTGGCCTTCTTTGACATGAAAATGCACAAAACGATACCAAAAACGTATTAAATGAGTAAAAGCAATTCTATGGTTGCTAAAACATATCTGAAGTATTCATAGCATGAATTCAAGGTATTATAATGAAAATGAATGCACTTTGGATCATCATACGGGAGTATAGAATAGTCAATTCTACTTGTCATTAGCTATAAAACTTGAGTCGAGACACAGGAAGGGGATTAAATTTAATGGTTTTGGTATGTTCCCTCTCTATCACATCTCTTTCACTTTACGAAGCATGACCAAAAATTAATCGGGTACCAAAACTAAAGGTGGATTTCAGAATTTTGTCCCAAAATACGAGGGTTACTATAAAACTTCTCACAATACCACACTTTGCAAACATTTCCCCAAAACAAAAGAGTTTGGCTTAGTTCGCTCCAGTATTAAGCGATCTATGTGGCGATTTTTTGGAAAGAAGAGCGATCTAAATGGAATCGCAGTCAAACCAAGCAAACTAACATCGAATCAACATGGATTGCGACACTTGTAAGCGAACAAGAGTTGGATCAACGTCGCTCACAACAGAGTAAAGCGAATCACATTAGAATGCTAATGACACCAGCGATTCAAACCTAACCTAGGCCGAAACTTATAAGAAATGTAACCTTGCACTCAGTTATCTGATCGTAGCAATATTTTTTATTTCGCATAAAATTTTGAGATTTTCGAAGTAGCAAACCACTTGGTCCACCTTCGTCACAAAAAATTGCCACTTTCTATCAAAATGGGCCATTTTCCGATTTTTTCCAAACTTCGGTCAGTCAAACTTTGTGCTCTACAATCAAATTATCGCAAGTTATTTTATATTTTGCATAACTTTTCAACAACTACAACTTTTACTCGGAATCCATTACCAATAGAGTAAATGTGTTGGGATTTAAAAATTTTCAGAACAACGTTAGACTTTATTTTCACAGTTCCGCGTATATGCTTAAAAGACTTCAATAAAAAAATTTGTAGTCCTTTGACAATTACGAAAAATAAAAACAAATTGCATCGACCGGATAAGCAAGCTCAAAGTTTCGGTTGTCCGAAATTTGGCGAAATTGTAAAATGGCCCGTTTGGGATAGAAAACTTTTTTTGCGACGAGGGCGGACCAAACCGCCTTTTGCTGTTGGCGGCTTCAAAGATCTCAAAAGTTATGCGAACTAAAGTAAAAATTTGCTATTATTGGATAACCGAACGCAAAACTATGATTGTTAGAAGTTTTGACATAGATTAGGAGTAGATCGCTAAACTGTCTAGCAATCTTTGGGTGCTTGATCATTGTATTCATCAGCGATCTGTGTTGTTCTCTTTTATCTCCATCGATCCACCTTGGTTCGCTTTTGTCAGTCATGATCTACCTCGGCCTAAGGATGGTTCGCCTTTGCTAGATGTGACCACTGTGGTTTGCCCCTTATTCGAACAAACCAGTATGTAGATCCACTTAGTACTGTCCTAAACTCTTTGTATTTTAAATTTTTTTTCCCGCAAAGTGTGGTTTACTGGAATTTTTTTATAATAAACCTTATATGTTGGGAAAAACTCGAATTAATTGAAGTCTTCCCATGAGATCTCCCTTGTTGTTCCTAATCACAATTATAGAAAGACAAGTTCTTTGCCTTGTGACCATCATGAATTATAAATTTGAGGAATGGTGTTGTTTTAAAATTTGAAATCAAAGCTACCTTGCGTCACTCTGAAAAAAGTCAAGTATAACTAAACTAGCGATGTAGTAAAGTGACTCGGTCGTATTCCAAGGGAACCTTAGGCTAACTATTAATTCATTCCAAACTATTATCTAATCATCTAAGAAGTTTGCGGGTAAACTAACCTAACTACCTAAACACAAGCAACCAAGTGGTTGGGAGACTGCTAGAGATTCGATGGTTGCCTAGGGTTGATTCCCTCTAGCTATAGGTTGCTACGGGTGAAAATCTAATGTTGTCTCGAGGTGAAGAGGTCTCGAAGGTGGGGGTTGTCTCAATGGTCATGCAATCGATCTGCCTCCTAGCTAGGATAGTCAGCCCAATGTCACCTCAACTAGGCTACCTAACTAGGGATAAGTTCTACCTCCTCTAAAAGGTTTAAATTGATCTGCACACAATAGGAGGGTAGGTCGATGGTCACCTAACCTACAAGGGGATGGTTACCTCGACCTCTAGCTAGCCATCGAGGTGGACTAACCAAGGTAAGAAGCATTCACACATCTAACCAAATTCGAAGCTTTAAGCACCCTAGTTAAACTCAAATACACCATAATCCCAAGTGTAAAGTAATGATAATTCTCCTATTATATAGGTTGCAACTAAGGCAAATGGGATACATATAATCCCACACTAATTGATGTCTAAGCACTCTTAATCTAAGGGGATTGAACCATCACCTAGAACAAATCAATCACAATCAAGAAAAAGATATTCGCATAAACATCAAATAGGCATAGATTATAGGTTCTTAGTCATTCATACACAAGACACATAAACAATCTATAAACTTGGTTCCATCTTCACTAAACAACCTTAAGGCTTCAAGTCGTAGAGAGAGGAAGAAAATACAAACTAAGAAGGGGGAAGTGTTGGAAACCATCTTCTTCTCCTTGGATTGCACCTTATCCTTTCTTCTTGGGTGGATTGGGTCTTCCTCTAAGCTCTCCCAAATTGTTTTTCTCTCTAAAACTGCCCCAAAACCCTGATTTTCTCTCTCAAAGCCGGCTCTCCTTCTCAATCCAACAACTCTTCTATTTATAGGCCTTGGGGATTTTGGGCAAGATCACGGCTGAGGGGTGAATGATTACGATCATGATCTGGCCGTGATGACCCACGATCTTCAACTTTGTCAATTAGTCTTGGCCGGGCGATAGATCGCACCCTATGTTCGCAACCGCTAACTTCGTGTCACAACTATGATCTTTATCGCGACTCGATTCAACATCGCATGTGATCTACATAGCAAAACTCTTTGTTCATTCTTTGACGCTTTGTCCTGAAGATCGCGCCCATGGATCCTGAGATCGCGGTAGCGGTGTTCTAGCTTCAACACTCGATCTTTGGCTTGACTTCATGGGTTGGCTTTGTCAACTGAGATTCTGCTCCTTAGACTGCGATCTTGGTGTTTTCTCCTTTTCCTACACATTAGCCCCATTTTCTCCCCATTTTTGCTTGTAATGTCAAATGCAACCTAAAATTACATGATATGACAAAAGGAGGCAATCTAGGATACAAACGACGTTTATAAAACAATTCATGCTCAAAATGACACTAAACGCCTAATAAATAAGGGCTAAAGAACAACTTTTTGGGTGTTATTAAGGAATTTCATCATGTTGGGAATATAGACATGGTCTAAGAAGAGGCTTAATCATTTCATCCTTGTGTCATGGAGGGATGAAAAAGTGCCTCATTTCCTGATGCCATGTGCTGACCACCGTTTCTTCGAGCTTTCCTAATGATAACGATGGTTGTTCCTCCTCCTCCAGTGAGTGATCATCCTGCTGTAGAGAGATAGGTCTCGACCCGTCTTTCAAGAATGAAACCTTGTCCAGGTGGATTGTCGATGGATCCGAACTGCAGCCATCCAGGACACAATGCCTCACGGTTTGATTGAATAGCATGTCTTGGATCAAACTGTTCTTCTCTGTTCTAATACAAAAAAAAAAAAACAAAAAAAAACATAACAAGCTAATACGTCGATGCATACTGGGTTAGGCAAAAATGGCACTGAAGAAAAAGTTCCGGCAAAATTGGCACTCAGAATGCGATACGTCAAAATGGCAGAAGGTCGGCCATGTAATCTTGATCAAACAGAAAGGCATACAACAACATCCCAGTTACATACATGATTAAAATCAGACGATCGCAACATGGTAGACAAACGACCCTGGGGGGGGGGGGGGGGGGGGGGGGGGGGGGGGGGGGGGGGTGGGTGTTTATCAAAATATGCAGCAAAGCAATCAATCCAATCCATTGAATTAAAACGAAGCTCGAACCAAAAACACATGTTGTTGGGTGTTTGGGATAAAACGGAATCAAACGTGCAATTCCACATATGGGGAAAGGCTCGATTGATATAAAGATAGATGCTTGACCACGATTGAAGTAACTATTCAATCAATACAAGAGCTCACGAGCGTGGAATCCACCAAACTCAACACAAGTTGCAACTTGCACAAAACCAAAAGGTTCTCAATTCGATTAATCATAGTATATATATTACAACGAAAGATAGAAAGGTATTCAAAGGCAAATAAAACCTAATAAAATCCTAAAATAAAAAGGAGCAATTCAACTAAAAGACTACCCTAAAAAGGTTATAATTTTCGGCCAGAATTCCCTTTCTTGAAGCACAAGTAAGCTGCCAGCAAACAATCCAAAACCAGTTTTCGTACTAACTCCGCGCCTTTTGTTTGAGGCCTTCCAGAACTCCAATCTTTCATCCAATTCCTTACCTTGGTAGATAAACATACCTATTTTCATGTTGTAGAAGACTTTGGACTTGAATCCCTTCCATGCTCCTCGAATTGAGTTCCAAAGTAGGCTTCATGAACACAAATTTATACTTGGACAGATTCTGTCAGTTTTTCTGTTTTGAGGTTGCCACTTTGAGTCCTTGAAAAACAACCTTAATGACTTCGTCAAGATCCAGAAATCATACCATTGGAAAGATGGCAACTTTATATTTAAAACAAGCCATTGAACTCCAATTTTCAGTGAGCCAATTGTGAGAACCATGCCTCCAAAGTAGACATCTCGAAACTGTTCCAACACAACCAAATTCTGACTTTCTTCTTCCCAACTCCGATAGCTTCTTTGTCAAGTAATTTTGACGTAATGATTGGTAATTTGGGATCATATAAAAATTCCTTATCTAGATTTTGTAAACTGAGTTATAGAAGTACACAATAAGCTCTTCTATTCAAACCGAATGGAATTCTTGCCCAAGGATTTAGAATAACTTACTTGGTTGTGTAGACAGGAGAAGAGATCAATGGACAAGCAAAAATTTCAAAATCAAGGCGAAATTGAGCAGAAAAGTTTACCAGAAGTGCCAACGGTGAATTAGGGTATTGCAACAGGCTAAGTGAGACGAGATAGGCCAATTCCATATTAGGATTAAGCTCCAATCGATTGCCCATAGGGCTTCTTTTCTCTAGCTCGACTTGCGTATGGAAAACTTTATCATAGACCATTTGATAGGGTGATGTCTCTATTTGGTTTTTATACACCGTACGGTAAGACTAGAGATCGTATGTCAGTTTTTTGGACTGGTTCTTTTTCAAACATCAATTGTTTTTTTGTAATATCTATTTGAGTTCTTGATTGGTAAGTTCGATATGCCAAGTTTCATGAGGGTGATAGGAGGTGGATTCCCTGTAGAGAAACCCAAAACGCTCACAGATATTGTGGAATTTCCCTAAAAATGGATTCCTCAATCATTTATGATTGCGCGTGGTGCCCCGAATCGTGAAAAGAGTTCATGAAGACACTTTTCCCCTTAGCTAACGTTATTTGTGGGGAGGGGACTTGCTTCCACCCATTTTCACATGTAGTCAATAGTGACGAGAATATAGAAATTCCTAAAGGATGAAGGGTAAGGTCCCATAAAGTTGATACCCCAAACATCAAAGACTTTGGCGGTAGGATCATGGAGGCATCTTGTCTCGTTTTGTAGCTCATTCGACGCATTGGCAGGCATCACACAATTTATCCAACCGTAGTCTCGAAAGATCGTGGGCCAGTAGAACCCACATTCTAAAACCTTTATGTCTGAAGATTGTTGTGATGACTGCCAGAAGGTCCCTCGTGGCATTGGTGAGCAATGTCTCTTGATTCGCTTAATGAGACACAACGCCGCATGAAGTTAACTGGTCCAATATGAAAGAGGAATGAATTATCCCATTGATAAAAATTTGCTTATTTCAAGAAACATTTTCTTCTTGGTACAACTTATCTAGAGGCAAGGAACATGTGGAAACATAAATGGACATATTCGTGAACCATGGACGTTGATGTTTTTCCAATTTGAGAATGATAAGTTTCTCGTCTGGAAAATCATCATTGATTTTGGCCGAATTAGGTAGCAATGTGTCCGGAACTTCCAGACATGAAAGGTGATATGCGGCTACGTTCTCTACTCCAGCATTATCCTTGATATCTATATAGAATCATTGGAACAAAAAAACTCAGCATATAAGGCAAGGTTTGGCATTGGCTTTGCCCAATAAGTAAACACAAGTTGCAATGATCCATTTGCAATTTCGTGTGGGACAGTACGAGGTAGTGGCTAAACTTATCATAAGTGAATAAGATTGCTAGAATTTCCTTTTCCAGGTTTGTATAATTATTTTGGGCATTGTTCAACGCTTAAATAGCGTAATAGATCGAGTGGAACCGTTTATCTTTTCACTGGCCCATAAATGCTCCAACAGTGTAGTCACTCACATCACTTATAAGCTCGAACAATCTAGACCAATATCGATGTAAATCTGTTTCCCCCATTCCCCCGTACAGAGGTAGAGAATTCCCCGACCGGGGAATTGGTCCGGAAGCACCCCTGGCTGTGCATTAAAATCTCCAACCGAGAATTGTGACCGCGTTTCGAGTCATGACGAGTTCAACTTCCTTTTCATTTAGGATTCTTTTTCCTTTCGTTTTTCATTATTTGATGAATAAGAATTTTACACCGAGATGTGTTTTTTCCATGGAGTCGTCGTGCTTATGATTTATTGGTTTAACTATTGGTGGATTCCATAGCTAACGCAAGATCCTTGTTTGAGTTTTTCTGTTACAGATTCCAGTAGAGCTTGACAAGACTCTTATCAATCAAGTGATAACACTTGGTTGTGGCGATATCTATCCCCACGTATCCCTTTATTTTTATGTTAGTTTAACGAACGATTCGAGATATCTAAGCTTGAGTTGTGACAAAAGAACCTAAGCTTTCACGAGCTCAGGATCTTATCAAATATGGAGCTATCAAGATGGGTACGTGGGTAAGTCATTCACTAAGAATGTTGAAGGCAACCCTACAATCGTGCCTGAATTTGAACGGAGTGCCCTTTTATAGGTGCTTTTCAAGAGGTTGAGATATCTTGGAAAAAGTCCTTGATGAATAGCCAATAGAATCCTGCATGACCCAGGAAACTACAAACCCCTTAATGGATGTGGAAGGAGGGAGGCCATAAATTCTCTTGATTTTAGCCATGTCGACCTCGATCCCTTCTCAGGTTATCTGGTGTCCTAAAACAACACCCTCGGTCACCATGAAGTGGCTCTTTTCCTAGCTTAATGCAAAAAATAAAATAAAGGGTAATGTCTAGTTATTATCCAAATCTTTTTCGGATATTTTTTATTAGCCAAACCTATCGAAATACTAAGATTTAGCCAAATGTTAACTTTCAGTTAGCAATTTTGTTAGTAATATTGACTTGGCAACATGATACTGACTTGAAAGAAACACACGAAGGTAAACATAGCAAAATTTTAGTATTTTAACTAAGAAAAGAGTTACAAAATTATTAACAATAACATATAAATGGCTAATATTTTGATGCATTACGAAAGATTCGGCTAATTAATGGCGCATTTTAATTGGTTTGGATAATATAAAAGAATATGAAAAAAGTTTGGATAAAAAATAGACATTACCCAAAAATAAATTTAGGTACAAAATATGAATATCTAGCAAGTTTAGATACCAAACTGTAATTTGCATTTGGGCATGGCTACAAACACAAATCCATTTGTTAATAACCCAACCTAAGAAAACCAAACAGAAGCCGGAAAAAAAAAAGAAATCGTTTCCTCTCCCCTCTCTCCTCATCGTGTTCCTGCGCGAGTGAGTGGAGGGGGTTCGCCTTCGTGCGCAGCGGCCGTTCCGGGCTAATCGCCGACGTGCGGCGCCTTTGCTGGCCGATTCGGGCTAGCATGGGCTTTAAATCTCCAGGAGTTGGCGTCTCTGGCGTGCTCCTTCATTCTGATTCCTCTGTTTCTCTGATCTGGGAGGTGGGTATTTTGCCTCTGCGACTCGAAGTAATGGCGGTGGTTGTCCAGTTCAACGATGAGGATGTTGCTGCAGGAGTGATTCGAGGGGAACGCTCGCTAATCGGGCGTCTGGTGGGGCTGCCGCCGGCGCTGCATGCGGTGAAATCGTCTCTTTCCCGAGCCTGGCAGCTGGGCAGAGAGTTCACCATCTCCTCGATGGATTTTGGGTTGCTGCACTTTCTGTTTGCAGATCCTGGAGACGTGGCGGCAGTTGAGAAAGGCTCCCCGTGGGTTTTCCCCAAATTCTTGCTGGTGGTTCCTTCTCAAGCAGTTGCTGATTCCCTGCTGCGGGCACCACTGGAGGTCCAACTTTGGGGGATTCCGTTCGAGTGCTTCACTGCGAAACTGGCTAATCGTCTAGGCTGTGCTTTGGGAGAGACGGTTCCGCCCACTCTGCACCGGTCGGATGTATCTGGTGGACTATATGTTCGGGCTATGCCGGTGCTAGACCTCACGGCACCCCTCCCCGATGAGATTGTGGCAGCGCATATTGTACCCTCCAAAGGTAATTTGGTGGCCAAGATTAAATATGAACGGTTGCTTGTGTTCTGTTTCCTTTGTGGAATTATAGGGCACATCGGGGCTAATTGCCCGCGCAAAGGCGGATTTGGAAGGATCTCCTCCTCGATATGGGAAGTTCACGGTATCCATGGAGTCTGGGCCAGAGATCACTGAAGGTATGCTGTCTAGTCGGAAGAGACGATTTACCTGGCTGCGGGCGATGTCTCAGCGGACAAAATCCTCTGCTCGGGGAGGGGGATTTCGTGTACCTCAGCCTCAGGCTGCGGGAAGGGGACTGCTGGCTGCTGGTGGTGCGCGTGTTGATCCGGGGTGGGAAGAGACTCGCCGGCCAGGGCCTGGCCGGGTAGGGGCAAAGCTGCACTTACTGTCTCTGACTGCGGAGCCATGCCAGGTGGATACAGATCATGGAAGTGCTGATGACCAAGAGGAAGGGATGATTGCTATGGAGGGCAGCCCGGATTCATCTCCTACAGCTAAGCGAGCTAAGAGGACTAACAACGCAGTGGTTATGACTACAAGGGTGGAGGCAACCAGCCCGGACTGGTCCCGTGGTGCCCCATGAGTGTTCTCGCGTGGAATTGTCGGGGAATCGGCTCCTCTCTGACAATTCCAACTC